CTACATGCCCGGCCCATGTCCATTTCCTCTTCTTGATTTCAACTATGATATCCTTAACTCCCGTTTGTTCCCTAATCCACTCTGCTCACTTCTTGTCTTTTAAGGTTACACCTACCATTTTTCTTTCCATTGCTCGCTGCGTCGTCCTCAATATAAGCTGAACTCTCCTAGCAAGTGACCAGGTTTCTGCTCCGTAGCTAAGTATCGTCAAAAAACAGCTGTTATATACCTTCCTCTTAAGAGATGGTGGCAGTTTACCTGTCATAATTTGTGAGTGCTTGGCAAATGTGCTCCACCCCATTCTTATTCTTCTAGTTACTTCAATCTCGTGGTTCGGCTCCGCGGTTATTACGTGCCCTAAGTAGACATAGTCTTTTACAACTTCAAGTGCACTATTACCTATATCGAAGTGCTGTTCTCTTCCGAGTTTGTTGTACATTATTTTCGTTTTCTGCAGATTAATTTTAAGACCCTTCTTTCGGCTCTCCTTGTCTAACTCCGTAACCATGAGTTGAAATTCGCCCCCTGAGTTACTTAGCAATGCAATGTCATCGGCGAAGCGTAGGCTACTAAGGTACTCTTCATTACCTCTTAGGCCTGACTGTTCCCATTCTAGGCTTCTCTGAAAACCTCCTGTAAGCACGCGGTAAACAGCATTGAGGAGATTGTATCCCCCTGCCTTACACCCTTCTTGATTGGTATTCTGTTGCTTTCTTTATGGAGTACTATGGTAGCAGTTGATCCCCTGCAGATTTCTTTCAAAATGTTTATATATGCTTCATCAACGCCCTGATTCCGCAGTGTCTGCATGACTGCTGATATTTCTACTGAATCAAACGCCTTCTCGTAATCTATGATGGCTATGTATAGTGGTTGGCCATATTCTGAGCATTTCTCTATTACCTGATTGATAGTATGAATGTGGTCGATTGTTGTGTAGCCTGTTCGAAATGCTGCTTGTTCCTGTGGTTAACTTAATTGAAATGTTTTCCTAACTCTGTTAGCAAAACCTTTTTAAATAGCTTGTATATTACGGAGAGCAAGCTGATCAGCCTGTTATTTTTTAAGTCCTTGTCATGTCTTTTCTTATGTATTAGATGATGTTAGCATTCTTCCAAGACTCTGGCACTCTTCCCGTAAGAAGACACCTCGTGAAGAGGGTCGCCAGTTTTTCCAACACGATATGTCCTCCATATTTCAGCAGATCTAATGTTACCTGATCCTCACCAGTAGCTTTGCCTGTTTGCATGCTCTGTAAGGCTTTTCTGACTTCTAACATTATTGGTGTGGTGTCACCTGGGTTACTGCTGGTTGTTATAGTATTAAGGTCATGGTTGTCCTGGCTATTGTACAGATCTTTGTAAAACTCCTCCGCTATTTTAACTATCCTATCTATATTGGTAGTTATTTTGCCTTCTTTATCCATTAGTGCGTACACCCGATTTTCACCTATTCCAAGTTTCCTCTTCACTGCTTTGACGCTTCCTCCGTTTTTCAGAGCTTGTTCAATTCTCTCCATGTTATACTTTCCTACATCGGATACCTCACACTTAATAATCAACTTCAAGAGCTCTGCCAGTTCTATTTTGTCTGTTGTACATGAGACTTTCACGCAATGACGCTTCTTAGTAAGATTCTTCGTTTCCTGGAAAAGCTTGCCAGTGTCCTGTCTAACTACCGTGCCCCCAACTTCCACTGCACACTGCGTGATGATACTCATCAGATTATCAATCATTGTGTCTATGCTGAGGTCGCTTTCGTCAATAAGAGCCGAGTACCTGTTCTGAAGCGAGACTCTTAATCCCTGTACTTTCCCTCTCAGTGCTAGTTCATTGATTGGGTTCTTGCATATCAGTTTCTGTCGTTCCTTCTTCAAGTCTGGGCGAATTCGAGACCGTACCATTCTATGGTCACTGCAACGTACCTTACCAACCACTTCCACATCATGCACGATGCCTGGGTGTACAGTCATTATAAAGTCTATTTCAATGTTGTTTTCGCCGCCCCGCCGCGGTGGTCTAGTGGCTAAGGTACTCGGCTGCTGACCCGCAGGTCGCGGGTTCGAATCCCGGCTGCGGCGGCTGCATTTCCGATGGAGGCGGAAATGTTGTAGGCCCGTGTGCTCAGATTTGGGTGCACGTTAAAGAACCCCAGGTGGACTAAATTTCCGGAGCCCTCCACTACGGCGTCTCTCATAATCATATGTGGGTTTTGGGACGTTAAACCCCACAAATCGAATGTTGTTTTCGCCATTAGGGCTACTCCATGTCCACTCCTGAATTCCTCGCTTTCGGTAGAAGGTATGCGAAATCCGCAAATTATTGCGTTCTGTGAATTCTACTAGTGCCCCTCCTCTGACATTTCTAGTACTGATGCCACAATCTCCTTCTTCCAGGTCTCCAGCATGTTCTTCCCTACTTTTGCATTAAATTCTCCCATCAGTATAGTATACTGCGTTTTTACCTTTCTCATTGCCAATTCCGCGTCTTCATAGAAGCTTTCAACTGAAGCGTCATCATGGCTGGATGAAGCGTGTAAGCCTGTACCACCTTCATCTTGTATCTTATTGAGTTTAAGGTACCTACTACCCTTTCATTATTGCTGTAGTATTTCTCTATGTTGCCAGCTATGTTTCTGTAAATTAAGAACCCCACTCCCAGTTCTCTTCTGTCAGCCCAACTCTGATAGCAAAGGACGTGCCCAATCTGTAGCACCGTATAGGCTTCATCCGTCCTCCTAACCTCACTGAGCCCTATTATATCCAATTTAACACTCTCTAGCTCCTCAAATAGTACGGCTAGACTTGCCTCACTAGATAAAGTTCTGGTGTTAGACGTTGCCATGTTCACGTTCCAATGGCGGCCTGTCCGGGTCCAGAGATTCTTAGCATCCTCTGCTGCGTTGCAGATCTGACCGCCATCGTGGTCACTTGCTTCGCAGCTGCTGGGGACTGAGGGCCGTGAGTTAATTGAGGTATGCATGTGGGTTGTAGTGGCCAGGTACTGTACCAGGGAGGCCGATGCTTCTCTGGTGAGGGAGTGTGTTACCGGTGGTGGTAACCTCCCACATACAACTCTATAAATGTCACCAATTACCTCTATAGCGAGCCTGATTAAGCCTTAGAAAAGCATGTGTGTTTCTTGATGCTATACTTTTTAATCAGTACACGAACCTTGAAAAAACAAGATCGTCACGTGCAGTGCATAAAAAGAGTGCTTATGAACTGCAATGATGCCATCGGAACCATCAGAAAAAGTAAATTCACCGTGCTAGAAACCAAATTCTGCTTCAAGTCTCTAAATGTACTGTTGACGAAGTCTTCTCTACAACTCTATTTCTTCTATTTCTGCAATTGGCATAATCCTGTCTCATGCATACCTTGCTGTGCACCCAATTTTGATCGACCTCTGCGATGTTACTCAAGTGACCATGCTCATTTAACATACCTGCAAGCCTCAGTGCTAACCGAATAAATCTTGACACTTTAATAAAGTAATGCTCTATGCTGTTCACCGCTTGAAAAAACTTTTTAGCATTCCTTTCAGACCCATTTTTTTAAAACTTGATGATCAGAGAGGCGATTAATCTCCACACCTGATGACAGGCACTTGTACAATTACACCCACATTATAACAACAAGCAGCCTTTGTAAGATGCTTGAACACGTCCCATCATCTCAGGTCAGTCAGTCAGTCAGTCAGTCAGTTTATTTTCCTTAAAGACCCCCAATGGGGGTATTACATAAGGGGTGGGAATAATATTTAACAAACGTAATCAATACATGGGTTTCAACTATATACATTTCTTCATATTACAAGGAAATATGCATGTACAATAAATAACACACGTAACCAACATGTAATTCAAAAAAGCACTTAAAGGTTATTTGTTAGAAGATGGTCAGTGACATGTTGTGCAAAAGAAGATGGACATATTATGTCGACAATGGAAAAAGGGAGGTCGTTCCAGTCTTTTGCTGTGCGGGAAAAAAATGACGCGAGAAATGTTGATGTTCGAGCGCGCATTAATGAAACCTGCTGCGTGTGGCTTGTCCTGGCTGATATGCGTGTTGCGGGTTTGATGTAAGATGGTTGATGCAGGATTGAACTGTGAAAAAATTTATGGTAAAGACAGAGAGAAGAAATGCGCCGACGAAGAGCGAGCGATGGAAGATTGGATAGTAATTTTAGTGATGTGACGCTGATGTCGTATGAATACGAAGAATGAATGAAGCGAGCTGCACGGTTTTGAACTGATTCTAGAGCGCAGATGAGGTATGCTTGGTGCGGGTCCCAGATGGCGGATGCGTATTCCAATTTCGGTCGCACTAGTGATGTGTAGGCAAGTAATCTTACTTGCATTGGAGCACTTTTGAGGTGACGTTTTAAAAAGCCTAAGGTTTTGTTAGACGATGAAATGATGTTTTGGACATGCGTACGCCAGATCAGATCGCTAGTCACGGTGACACCTAGGTATTTATAAGAGTTAGTCAGTTCTAGGGGTAAGCTGTTGATTGTGTACGGAAACATGAGCGGATTATTGCTACGCGTAAATGACATAGTTTTGCATTTATTTACGTTTAGTGTCATTAACCAAGTGGTACACCATTTCGAAACGTTAGTAAGATCGTTCTCTAAGGTTAACTGGTCAGAGGTGTTTAGTATTGTGCGGTAGACAACGCAGTCATCTGCGAACATACGTATATTACTGGTTACATGCAAAGGTAAGTCGTTAATATAGATTAAAAATAGTAGCGGGCCAAGGACGGAGCCTTGAGGGACACCTGATGTTACTGGGATGGCAGTAGACAGGTGGTTATTTACAGCGACGCGTTGTGATCGATTAGTAAGGAACTCTATTATCCATTTTATGACGGTGGGATGTAAATTTAGTTGGGAAAGTTTAGCGGACAATCGTTGATGAGGCACCTTATCGAATGCTTTAGCATAATCAAGAAAAACGGCATCAGTTTGTACGTTAACGTCGAGGTTAGTATGAATGTCATGCAAGAAGGCTGCCAGCTGTGTTTCACACGACAACCCCTTGCGGAAGCCGTGTTGTGAAGGGTGAAAAAAATTATTGCTGTCGAGAAAATTCATTATGTGGGAGTAGATGACATGCTCCATGATCTTGCAGGGGACGCTTGTTAGGGAGATGGGGCGATAGTTAAGTGGAGAGTTTCTATCGCCTGATTTGAAGACCGGAACGACCTTCCCTATCTTCCAGTCACATGGGATGATTCCTGAGGAAAGGGACTGGGAAAATATTAGAGCAAGAAAGAGCGAAGCACTCTCTTTAACATTTTTTAGAATTTTGGAATTGATACCATCCATGCCCGCAGAGGATGACAATTTCATTTTTTCTATTATAGACAATATTCCATTTGCGCAGAAATTGATTGCTGGCATGTCATGATTACAATTAAAGCCAAGTGAAGGTATGCGGGAGTGTATGCTTGGTTCATCAGTAAAAACTGTAGCAAAAGAAGCGTTGAATAGATTCGCACATTCCCCGTCAGTAATAGCTTCACCAGATTCAAGGGTTAGTACAGTGTCACGCGGTTTGTCAGCCTTAAGTGTTTTCCAGAACTGTCTGGGATTAGTCTGCAGTAGCTTGGGTAGGTCTGTGTTATAGAAGAAGTTTTTTGCTTTGCGCAGGGCTAAAAGATAATTGCGGTCAGCCTCATAGTACCTATCCCATACACTCGGTTGACCTGCACGTTTGGCAGATCGGAATAAACGTTTCTTTTTATTTTCAAGGCGTTTTAGATTTTTAGTAAACCAGGGTTTGTTGCAGGTGCTTGTGAAGCTGACTTTAGGTATGAATTTATCGGTTAGCTCCGTCAGTTTACCGATGAAGCGGGTCCAATTCGTATCTACTGTGTGTTGATGTAAAGTTGCTTGGAAAGTGTGGAAGAATGCGCTAAGAGCTTCGTTTATTGTTTCGTAATCCCCTCTGTCATATAGATGGATCGTTTTTTTGTAGGTTTCTCGTTTAAGCGGTTGAAAAGAAAAAGTGGCGTGAATTGTCTTATGGTCACTGATTTCGGGTAGATAGTGAATGCGTGACAGGCTTTCAGGATTGTTGGTTAGTATCAGATCCAGGACACTGGCTGTATCTTGCGATACACGTGTTGGCTCTGTGACTAGTTGGGTCATGTTGAAGTTTAGGCAAATATCAAGAAACGCATTAGCTTCACCTACACCCGTAGATGAATGCACATTGCTGGTGCGCCATTCTATTTGTGGGAAATTAAAATCACCGAATAAAAGTACGTGCGCGTTTGGATGAGCAGACGTGAGCTGGCACATGGCCTGATTAAGTTGGTTGCTAAAATTGGAACTAGCACGGGGTGGTCGGTAGCAAACGCCCAGTACAACGGACTGAGGATGTGCCTTAATAAGTACCCAGAGCATTTCTAGCTCTGTTTTAATATGTACGACTGAGCAAGATAATTGCTCGTGAACAGCAATGAGTACACCGCCACCACGAGTAGATGCGCGGTTATTCCTGTACAACTGGAAGTTTGGTAATTCTGACAGAACTTCGTCATCACGGATGTCATCAGTTAACCACGTTTCGGTAAGTAATAGCACATTGCTTTCAGAGGATGATACAGTGCTAGATATAAGTTCCCGTTTGGGTAGGAAACTGCGAATGTTAGTGTAAATAACAGAAAGTGAAAGAGTTTTGCTAGTAACCGCAACAGCGGTCGTTTTTTTTTCCCGGTGGCTTGATTGCTACGATAGTTCTTTGACGGTGTTTGATTCGGCGTCGAAAATGTAGCGCTTCTGATTCATGTGCAGTGTTTTGAAGTGCATTGAAAATGGCTTGTTGTTACTTCTCGCAAAAGCAATTAGTTGTTTTCTAGCATTTTGGACTGAGCGTGAGAAGTCTTCACCTATGCCGTAACTTGTCCCCTTAAGCTTGCGACCATTCGATAATATTGCAGTTTTTGTCTTGTGCAGAGCAATCTTCACGATTATGGGCCGGGAGCGTTCAGGTGAATGTCGACCGAGACGATGCGCGCGTTCGATATCTCTTGGTTCTAAGTGAACCTGTAGGTTGTCCCGGCAAAGATTCATTACCAGCCGCTCCGATTCAGAAAATGTTTCAGATGCGGAAGGGTCCGGGATACCGTAAAATATTAGGTTGTTTCGCCTTGAGCGATTTTCAGCGTCATCAATACGGGCTTCTAGTGCAAAGATTCTGCAGGAGGTCTGCTCCGTGTTAACGCGCAGGACTTCTATTTCTTTTCGAAGTGGTACCAGAGACTGATAATGACTTTCAAGGTCTGATAATCTTTTGTTCAGTTCGCCAATTGTTTTATCGGTGTTACCGAGCTGAGACTTCAAGCCCTGTACTTCTGCAATTAGTTGTGTTTGACCTGTAGACAGCTTACGCAATTCAGCAAGAAGGTTCTCAGAGATATTTGAAGGGCCAGGGTTAGTTTCAACATCTCCAGCTAGAATTAGTAGTGCACGAATTACATGGACACACTCGGCAATAATAACCATACAGCAATGCGGGCTTGGCAGCTGTACCAGAAAGTAATTACCAGATCTTTTCGAAAAGACAACGTAGGGCTCACCAACCTGCATAGCGGGAGCGAATTGATTAGTGATCCGTGCAGTGGCACAGACACCAAGCCCACAGCGCTCCGTTGAAGGTCCTTGTTCTTTTATAGGTGTCGGGCTCGTGGATGTCGATGATGATGCAACCGTCCAGGCTTGGTTGAGCTCAGCTGCCCAGAGTCCCTCTTCTGGTCGAGCCAGGCATTTGACGATAGGCAGAGGGCATGCGCTGCCTTCGTCGCTTCCAGGACAGCTGAAGCCATGTTCCGCCGGCGCTACCGCATGCGCAAGCGCAGGTAGCAGCAGATGAGCGATGACGTAACGGACCATCTGCATAGCGGGAGCGAATTGATTAGTGATCCGTGCAGTGGCACAGACACCAAGCCCACAGCGCTCCGTTGAAGGTCCTTGTTCTTTTATAGGTGTCGGGCTCGTGGATGTCGATGATGATGCAACCGTCCAGGCTTGGTTGAGCTCAGCTGCCCAGAGTCCCTCTTCTGGTCGAGCCAGGCATTTGACGATAGGCAGAGGGCATGCGCTGCCTTCGTCGCTTCCAGGACAGCTGAAGCCATGTTCCGCCGGCGCTACCGCATGCGCAAGCGCAGGTAGCAGCAGATGAGCGATGACGTAACGGACCATCTGCATAGCGGGAGCGAATTGATTAGTGATCCGTGCAGTGGCACAGACACCAAGCCCACCAAGCCCACCAGGTCAACATGTTTCCTGAAACCACCTTGCTCTTAGTTCTGAAACAGAATGGTTTTTATAAATCATTTTTTTGCTAAGCTCAACCTGCCCCTTGACAAACTGTACGTTTAAGTTTAGGCCATTCTTCAGTGCTATTTTTCTTGACAACTCGAGAAAACCCGATATAGTGAACCATGGGCTTTTAAAAGAAAATTTGCGAAACATGCACAATTATCTCCTACACCTAGCCTGAGTATATATTTCATTATTACTAATCATTTTCATTTTTGAGCACATATGTGATGGTGCAAAACCTGGAGTACCATGGAGTCTGTCACAGCTATTTTTGATTTCTTTATTGAGGGCCATGCAACAATTTTAAACTATTCTTGCGATATACCAGAAGCTTATTGCAGTGTGAATTACTTGCCACAATTAAAAAAATAATTATGAGGGGAACATATGGACTCTTCACAAAAGCTGAAATTGGTGTCGATGCTGTCTGCTGCATGACCAGTGATGAGACAAAGCACAGCGAATCACATTAGGCCTAATAGCAGTGCTACGATTTCATTTTTCCCACACGCACGCGACCGCGTGTTAAGTATACTTTACCGCAATAGACTGCGTGCCCTTCAGCCAATGACACTACTGCATTGCGGGAATGTTACCTTTAAAAAGACCTTTAGTAGTTAGCAATTTAAGCTCAACAATGCTCCGAGCAACGAAATTTCAAATTTATTCATTTTTCATTTGTATACGCTTATTTAAACTAGTGTTACCAACCTTCCCAAATTTTGCTGGACTGTCCTGACTTTGCCCGCGCTGTCCCAGTCGGGACACATGTCCCCAATTTTTTCCCGACCATAGAGTTAACAAAAAAAAAACGTTTTGTGTTATCAGAGGCACGCCAAATAACATGCGTCCGATTGATCACACAGACTAAGAAATGTTGCTGTGGATAGCTGCAAGGAGCTTTAAACACTTCAGCTGAACTTTCGCGTGAACGTGACGGCTTCGGCGAGCGAACTCCACTGTTGCTTGGATGAAGCCGTCTACTCGTACCAAGGAAAACGCGTAGTGAAAGGTATGCAATTTAAAAATAAGCAGCACTTTTTTATGTGCACGTGCGAAAATAATACTTTATTTCTTCGTTGTGCACACGTGACTCGGGCGGAGAGGTGAGTGAGAGGAGGTGGCGATTTCGCGGCACATGAAAAGAGCCGGCAGTACGTCCTTCATGCACATTCTGTTCCGGTGCTTTGAGCACAGCACTTCCGGGCGATGGGCGACGGTTTCCAAATCTGGTGAACCAAGCGATCGCGCGAAAACTACTACGCGACACGTCACGCGAACGCCCTGTTTCGTCACTCATAGCATCGCTCGTCGCTGTCGCGTGCATTTTCGCGTTTATGAGGTTTGACCTTTACTAGTGCATTCTACAACGAGAGGTAGTGTCGTGAACAATACTTAGCAAAATTTAGTGCCACATCAAGAGACCAACGCAATGAAGAAAAAAAAACAACGGATTTGTTTGGAAGGCACCGCAACAAAGAAAACTGATTTCCCCACCCACACACACGTCCCACCTACCTTCACTGTTGGTTACCACAATCTAAACAAACACTGCTAAGCAAACGGATTGTCATCATATGTGACCGCTTAATAAAACACTAGGGCAAGAACGTTCTCTAATTCCAACTTGTGCATTCCATATCTATCTCGCGTACTTACGCAAGAACAAGCTTCAACTAAAGCGTTGCAACAAGTATATACTTCCCCCCAAGTGACATTAGCTGTTTGATCGGTCCTCAAGGAACTCGCATGCACCTACCGTACATCCGCGTACTACATGCGTCCGACCAACTTTCACAAATTGAATTAAACACGGCCTTTATCTTACGCTCGTTATCATTACTTGTAGATTTGGTGGCAAACACTTCGTGCGAATGACGTTAACTACTCGATAAGCTCGGATGAGAAGCTCGTGAACACGGCGATATCAAAGGAATTGACAAAAGCGGCATACGGCTTGCGTCTGAATCACTTTCTGACAACAGAAAGTGACCACGTCCCCACAGACAGAGGCGGTTCTCGCCATTTCAGATTATAGTCCAATCCAGCACCTACAATGGACAAAAGGACATCACGACTAGAATACGATGAACCCGCCACAAAGTGTGTGTCACAAGTTAGTGAGAAACTCTACTTGAGACACAGAATAAAAAAAAAAACGTTTGAATCGCCTGAAAAATCTTCTCCAACACAGTGACTTGGTCGCCGTCTATTCATACACTTTAAGCCAAGTCGAACCGCTTTTAAGTGGCTATTAGGTGAACGGAGCGTTTTGGCCCTCAAAACGTTCGTGCCACCGGGTGAACCGAAACACTGCCATGCTTGGCATGTTGAGCTTGCTGGCGCGCTTTTGCGGTACAAAAGGGTTGTAGTATATATTGGGAGTTTTAAGAAATGTGCCTGCAGGATCAAGATCAAGGGGGATGCGTCATTTCATCACCTCTTTCATATATGTGCTTGTGTGTGTGTCGGCAGATTACCAGAGAATATATAAGGTGAAATAATCAAAGCTAAAGCTAGAAAAGACAGGTAATTAGGTAAACTGGGAGTCACCAGTAATTTTTCCAGAGTTATCAAATTCTAACCAGTTTACAGGCGGAAACTTTAGAGTGGGCAGTGGAACGGAGCGGCCGCCACCATGGTCTCATCCGACCACTTTTTGCTTTTTGTACAGTTGTTCGCAGTCATCAGCACGAGCTCGCCAGACTGCGTGGAACCACATGCGCCTGGCACGCCAAACGGCACGTGCCCTCCCCAGCCCGAACCGAGCCGTTGTTGCCCGGAGCCACTTCAACCTCCCTTTCCGGTAACCCCTTACGCTGCCACCAAGCCAACCGCATCGACATCGTCAAGCCACCCAGAAAACTACAAATACAGCCAGCCTTGCACCGCGCGCCTCAGTGGGCAGTGGAACGGAGCGGCCGCCACCATGGTCTCATCCGACCACTTTTTGCTTTTTGTACAGTTGTTCGCAGTCATCAGCACGAGCTCGCCAGACTGCGTGGAACCACATGCGCCTGGCACGCCAAACGGCACGTGCCCTCCCCAGCCCGAACCGAGCCGTTGTTGCCCGGAGCCACTTCAACCTCCCTTTCCGGTAACCCCTTACGCTGCCACCAAGCCAACCGCATCGACATCGTCAAGCCACCCAGAAAACTACAAATACAGCCAGCCTTGCACCGCGCGCCTCAGTGGGCAGTGGAACGGAGCGGCCGCCACCATGGTCTCATCCGACCACTTTTTGCTTTTTGTACAGGTTGGTCCCTTCCAAGATTATAGCGCTAAGCGATCTAGCAACTATTGTCTGCTGCTCCTTCCATGCCCACATGTGTTGCTTGATATAGTCGCAGAGTCCGTGCGACACGAAAGTGTCGCTCTCAGTTCACGGCTTGATGACTTCGAGGATCGCTCTCGTAGGGAGAACCTAATTTTTTATGGGATATTGGATTCTGCCTCAGAAACCTGGGCCGAGTCGGAGCTAAAAATCCGTGAAATCCTGTCTGCGTCTCTTAAACTGGAACTTCCTAATGAAGCCATCTCCCGTGCACACAGGCTTGGAACATATGTACAGAACAAATGTCGACCTATTATTGTTCGCTTCAGTTCGTTTAAAACAAGAGAAAGTGTCTTTACTAAGAAATCGATGCTTCGCAGCACCCCCGTGTCAGTTAGCGAAGATTTCTGCAAGGCCACGCGCCACGTGCAGAAAAAGCTTTTAAATTTCGCGAAAAGCACTGGGCAGCCATATTACTTGAAGTATAACAAGATACTAATCAACAAGAAAGCCTACGTTTATTGTCCGGTCACCGATCGTGTAACCGAGGCAGGACCTATTTATGATAACCCCGTCCACGTTGCTCCCGAAGTAAGCAATGCAGAATGCGCAGGGGCCAGCGCTCCTCCTTCACATCGATAGCTAGATAAGCATTTTCGAGCTCATGAATTTTCTTTTTTGCTATGTAATTCTCGAAGTGTTACTAACAAGCGTGATGCCCTATCTGCGCTAATAGATACATGTCTAGCTGATGTCGTCGTAGTAACTGAAACTTGGCTGTCCGCTGAAATTGAAAATAACGAAATATTTAACTGTTCAAAAAAGTTTAAGTTCTACCGCTGTGACCGGGGTACGAGGCGCGGGGGCGGCGTATTGATTGCCATTAGCGACGAGAATAGCTCGTTCAGCGTGCCTGTTGTTTCACCGCTTGAAATTGTTGTCGCGTGTGTTCGCATTAACCACAAAGATATCGTTGTTTGTGGCTGCTACCGGCCTCCTAGCCTTACTACCGGTTTCGCAAATGAATTACACGATGTACTAAATAAGTTGCAAGTAAGGTTTCCGGC